CAGTACCTGAGATTTCTAAACTACTTCAGCCACATTGAATGCATTCAAGATTGTTGACATCCCACACAAACATTTTTTTTTGTTCACATCAGATACAGAATTATTACAGTAAAAACTATCCATGCAAAACATAGCATGAAAATCATTGTTTTCAAGTCATTTTCATTTTTTATGGAAAAATATGTTACAAAACTTAACAATCCTTGATGTATACGCAAATTCACACATCTCTGGTGATCCCAGCCAGAGGGTGGTTAACACATTGTATCAGCGAAAATTTTAACAAAACATAAACTATAGGCGTGTGGCCAAAAAAAAAGTGCTCTGAAATAATGCATGCAGTTGTATGTATTCTTATTACTAAACCTGCTGATGCTAGAGCATCTCATAGCATCTGTATTTATTTTCATCAAATAAAAAAAAAAATTTATTATCACTATTTATTGAATTGACCAAAAACTATTATTATTTGTATCATGAATTCTCTTGAAAAAAAAAAAATATTTTTACTACCATGAAATAATATTTTTATGGTATAACATGGATATAGAATCATGTAACTGAACATCACTAATTGCAACATTCAGGAAAACATACTAGTATATACAATAAAAAGGCTATCAAAAGAATACAAAGTATGCACACAGGCAGTATAGTGATCAATCGTCCAAAATTGAGCAACTGATTACAAACATTAACACATTAGCAGCCATCAGTTATTATGAAGTGAAATTTGTTTAATTATCAGGTTTTAAAGTTCAGTATTGTGATCATTTCTCAAGGAAGGAAGAGTTTTCCACCACAGCCCAATAGATTTTTTTTCCCTACATAAACAGTGTGCATGTTGAATTTGAAATATACTTGCACCAACTTGTTGTGAAATGCACCACTTTTAAAGTTTAAATAAAATTTATGAGTTCTCGATCGATTTTTTTAGTTGTCTTACAGTTTTGGTTGAACATAATTTAGGCTTAGTGAATATAATGAGAAAATGTTGTGTTAATTTCTACATGCACAGCGTGCACATTATATTTTGAGTTTACTTGCACTAGCTAATAATCTATGTGCCTAGTGCAGTGTGCACCAGAGTATTTCGACCCCTGGATAATGAACGAATTTTTCTATTCACACACTTACTTTCATTCTTTCTGCTTAGGTCATAGTGTATTGTGACATAGTAAACGAGTATTCACCTGGAGACACAGTAGTGACTTTTGAGGATACAATTTTATACAAAGGAAACATAACTGGTGAAGTACTATACAAGTATGTATATTCTGACTTCTGTTTATCACTGTGCTTATGCTCGGTTATTATCTCCCACCAAATATGTTAATTTTACCCAGAGAGTCTTGTATCCGGTACTAAATACCTCCGCTTGCAGTTTATAGCCTTTAATTATTGCTATGGTTACATAATTCATGTGCAAATTAGATTGTATTTTTTCCCTGGGTAGAATACTGCAAATTACATGTATATGCAAATTAGGCCACCTATCACATCAATCAAAGTACCACAGTCATCACGAGTACACTATTTGTTAGTTTGTTTGTCAAGCCATTAAATGAACCTATAGTGTTACTGTATTAATCAAACAACATATAATGCACACTTGAAATAGGCAAATCATTTGTTGTGTAAAAATAATATATTTTCATCCATTCAGGGAACTCGTACAATGCAACGAGATGACTGTGACGCTTTAGACATCAGATCAAATTAATATGCAAATTGGATGGAACATTTATGCCAGATACCTATAACCCTCAGTGTTGTCATTTACCTTCTGCAGAGAGTATTTTATCTTCAATTTTTATTTTGCATCAAGAAAAAGTGCAAGAAACCCCTCAACTTTGAAAATCACAGTAAATTTACCAACCGCAGTACATAATTTACCCTTGCTTTTTCGGTGTACCCTCATTTTATAAATGAGATGATATAAAAAATTAATTCTGAAAACTTGTTGATATTCTAAGCTAATCAGCTTGTTTTGATTAATGTAATGATTATGTTCATAACTACAATTTTATTTGTTTCTTAGTGTTTCAACCCAAGGACGTGCTGTTGAAGTACAGTGCACTGGTGAATACGTTAACACTCCCGGTGTTGTCAACAATGACCTTTTCAATGTAACCACATCAGCTGGCTTCCCTGGGTATGTTGTAATTCTGCTGCTTTATTATAACAAATGACAACCATAGACCCTACAATAGAGGAATAGGAAAGTGCAATTTCCTTTGATGTAATGTGGTTTTGAATCCTGTTCTGTTTGTTGTGCATAACAGCTCACTTCCTGAGCCACATTTAGACCACATCTCACCATTCATCATGAGACACTGTTAAGCACAATATACTGTGGAATACTTTATTTTCGCTGGAATTAACTTTCGTTGAAAAGGTTTTTTGGGCGTTCTGTATGGAATTTATTTTCACTGATTTTTGATGAGTTGAATGTAAAATATAGAAAAAAAAGTATATTCGCTGGTTTTTTATTTTCACAGAATTATCCCTTCAGCGAAAATAGCGAGAATAAATTCCAAGCGAAAATTAAGTATTCTACAGTATGTGAATTACGTATGGGCTTTAGTACTTGTAAGTGCATCAATAAAAAAAAATACCATGCAAAGTATTTGGCTTGACACCATAAAATGCATTTTCCTAATTATTCAGTTACCATAGTTTGATATCACTTTTATTGTTTTTGTGTCAAAATTTGAATTCAATAATGTTATAATATTGAATTAACCTTTACCCCACCAATTCCCACTTATCATCACAAATTCACGAAATAGTCTCATTTATAGGGTGCACTTTCCTTCAGAAGATTGGAACAAAAATAACCAAATTTTTTGACTAAAAACAGAAAATTGTTTCAAATGTTGTCTGTTAGCAAAATTGGGAGTGATTTCCATAAAATATTGAAGAATATAAGAAAAAAAGGTGCAGAATAATTTTGGCGAGAAAGTCTGGTGGTGAAAAGGTTAAACAAATTGTGCAATGCTTGAGTGTAACCAATGCACTGAAAATGTCATTAAAGAAATATTTATCTGTAGGTCTC